GTTTTAAAATAATAAAATGCATACAATAAAATAGAATAAAATGAAATGACAAAAGTGAAATAGAATTAAAAATTTACAAAAGTAAAAAATATAGTAGAAAATTTCAAGAAAATCATTTTTGTAAAAATGAAAATAAAAATAAATTTTTTCCTCTTTCTGTATTCAAGAATAAGAAAAGAAAAATAACAAAATTGAATAGATGGACTGACAGACAGATTGGAATATGATTGAAATTACATTGTTTTCCCCTAGAAGTCAAACTGTGAAGCACTTTATAGTCCTTAAACTAAGCAGGCAGAGAGACTTATGTTCCTCTAGAGCATGGTTGGCACAGTTGGCCAGGGTTTGGTGTAACGGCTCCCTTCTCCACTAGATGGTGGTGGTTAGCTTACTGGAGTGGATCATTGTGGCATGTGTATGCACATGCACAGGAAAGGTGAAAATGGCATCATTCAGCTACCCAGTCTCTATTATCAAAACTCGGTGCTTTCACCAACTGGCAGTCAAGCACCCCTCTTTGTCTCTGGCCTCCATCCACTCCCTTCTTCTGCCCTGTCTGCCACCAAGTCATCAGCCTGCCAGGTGACACCTCCCTTCTGAGTTTTATCTCAGACGGGGCTGTATTTACAAACCCCTCACTTCTGAGGGCCCTGCAGCTTCAATCTGCTCCACCCCTCTGGGGGAGGGTCTCGCCAAGCAATGGCTAGGTGCAGCCCCCCCTCCCCACCCGCCCAGGAACTCTGACGCAACCACACCACTGCAGATGCTCAGAGACTGCGGCTGGGTGCCAGCCCGCCCCAGAAAAAGTTTGTGTGATCATGTAGCAGCAGTTTCAGGAGTATGGTAAATCACAACACACTTCTGGCACTTTGTTCTTGTCTCTTAACATCCTTGTTCCAACACCAGTAAGCATGGCTGTACTCTGGGTCCACTGAGACCTTTGCCTGTGGGGAGTCTGCACAGCCTCTACCAAATGTCCTCTTAGTGGGGGAACTGCTTCTCCACGTGTGGGGCAAGAACCCCTCAGACCTCGCCTTCTGCTCCTGGGTATTCACCCTTCTCACCAGAGTTCCACCAGGTAATGAACTGTGGAGTTTCAGACTCTGCTCCCCTGTTCATAGAGTCTTAATGGTATCCAAGCCCACTTCTTTCTCCTCTCTTCTTTTCTTGTTAATTCCCTTATGGGTGTTTCCACTCTTTCTCTTTCTCTCCAGCTGCTTTTGGGGGAAGTGCTTTTCCTGTACCCCCCCCCCCATCTCTATTCTCTCTCTGCAGGCAAAAACAGCTCCCTATGGCTTCTTTCTACCCCAGTTCACCTCTCCATACCACAAACGAGTTCTGTGGTTCAAGTTATGCAGATTGTTGAATTAATCTTCAGGTCAATTTTCTAGGTGTGCAGCTTGGTTTGGTGTTGATCTGGCTGCATTTCAGGGACAAGAGATGCAAAAAAACTTCCATGCTCCTCCGCCATCTTGGCCCCTCTGACAGTGTTCTTAAAGATACATTTTTTAAAAAATTTTAAAGTCTGTATTATAACAAATGGATTATGGTCAGTAAAGTTCAAAGCTCTGCCTGTTTCTAATTTGGAATATATTGCTTCTTCCTTCAGATTGTCTGGCTTTTGCATAGATTCCAACAATTTCCATGTTTCCTTTTAATTTGTTCTTTAAAAGCCTTAAAATGATATTCCAGCACCTATCTCAGAATCTCATTATTTCTGCACGGGTCCAAGAGGAAGGAATCTTTTTGATAGAAAATCATAATATCCTAGTCACATTCATTTAAAGCATTTGTTAACGTTCAATTCAGAACTGCCTACACCAAGGAATCTTGCTTTAAGTAAAGGCAAAGAAAAATAGGGTAGAATATCCCTCAACGCTATCTGTTTTTGTTTTGTCTTTTTCAGCTACATTTAGGATGTGGGTGTAATTAAAGGGACACATTGGCTCAAATCCTTTTAAGGGCAACCACCTATCCACATTCATAAACCAGTTTCCTGCTATTGCAGGAGTAGCTTGAGCTCCCAATGGAACATCCATTCTAAATAAGGTAACTACTTTATAATTCTTCTTAGAGTCTTAACTACTGAATGTACACACACACACACACACACGCACACGCACACGTGCATGCGCAGACATATTTAGTTGGTATCAATATGTGAGACTAAAATTTTACTCTTATCTGTATATTCGGCCCTGGTTTCAGATTGGTTTACTCTGTATTACTTTGGATCTAATATACCAGTTGTCGCATGCCCCAGGGCTTGACCCCAGCCAAGTTATTGGAGATGGTGCAGGAATTCTCTGTGTACCTAAGTATTTGATTCTGCTACCTTTCAAGATCTTGGGGCCTGACATAGTTGCTGCTTCTAAAGCCCTCATCTTCTAGTCTGACAGCAGTGCCAGAGTCCTTGACAGAAGTTTGAGAACAGAGATCCAAAAGGAGAAAAGACTCATGAGGTCCGAGTAGAGTCAGAATTCCCTGATCATGGGTCCCATTTGGTGAGGTGATTATTGACCCAGGTATGGGTGAAACCCCTGGTAAATTGAATTTTTTTTATTTCCTAATATGCTTTTTACATTTTTATTTTGGCAGGTCCCTTACTAGCCTTAACCATCTCATGGCTGGCTATCCTGTCACTACTCAATTTTCAATAAATAGTTTGTGGTACTTGATGTCCTTCTGTGAGTAGGTACATTTTTTTTTTTAACCAAGTGGCCAAGTTTCTTGCTCTGTGTGGTATGAATCAAGAGGAAAGTTATACATTTAACAAGAGGTATTAACCAGAATTTCACATGTGTAATTAATAAAGGCAATGACTCTATTGTATCCCAAGAATCTAAATCCGTTTTAACGATATTATGAGGTAAACAGTAGATGAATTTGTTTCTATTCAAGTAAAAGCAAATTGATTTGGGAGATTGTTCATGGATGGTACAAGTGAAACGTGGCCTCTTCTGTGTATCTCTATTCAAAGATCAAAAGCCATGGTGTCTTTGGTGAGATATTTGCCTTCATAATAAAGACAAGCCCTTTGAAACCTTAAAGAAAGGTTTGGATAGTAGGTTTAACTTACCCCTTCAGGGAATTTGTGTATTTGTCCTTTCCCAAAAGTCATATTTCTTTGCCTTAAAAAATTCACTTAGAATATTTTTTTAAAAAGTGACTAGCAGTTACTTTATGGGAAGAGTCACATGGATAGCTCTTGTAGACTAAACCATTTGCCACTATGGGAACAATACTGTTGATGGTGAGGAGTTGTGATGTTTCTGAGTGGCCACAAGGAGGAGACAGAGAACAGCATAGTTGACCCCAGAATCTACAGTGCCTAAGTTTATTCAAGATAGACATTACTTCAGTTTCCTTTAGCAGGGCTTGTTATTTCTTTTTAACAACATTTGCTAGGGAAGTAGGATGTTTTATGGTTCTATTCAGTGTGACCAACTGTTAGTGTTTTAATGGTTTTGAAATTAATTGCCCATCCTAATAAGTCCGTGCTAAGGGGAGAAGATATAGGTAGAGTCCTTTTTATCACCTCAAAAACTATAAAGCAGCCATTGTTACTTCCCTAAATTACCCTAGGGTGATGTCTTTCCTTTGAAATTCCAATATCCTAGGAATTTGGGTATTTAAGATATTGGATCTAACAGGCCCTATAAGAACATATGTGGTTCTGTGTCCCGTGCTCTGAGACATGAAGAATGGAAGTTGGGTACCCTTAAGAATGAGCAAAGGACATGTGGATGCAAGTCCTGTGTTTAAGACAAGCTTCTAGGACTCCACCAGGCTGTTATTTTGAAGCATCAGATCTTTAAAATCTTCCAGACTAGATAGGGCAGGGTCATTGTATTAAAGACTGTGTACCTTGGATCAGTGACCTTTATCATTAAGTAGTTCCTTTTGAGTAAATAGAAATAACATTTTGGTTTTTAGCAGTTTGGATCTGGTCATTTGTGGTTCATTAGCTACACACACGGGTTGTTTTTTGTTTTTTTTTTAATGTTTATGTTTGAGAGAGAGAGAACGTGAATGGGAGAGGGGCAGAGAGAAAGGGAGGTGCAGAATTTGAAGCAGGCTTCAGGTTCTGAGCTAGCAGCACAGAGCCCAATGCAGGACTCTAACTCACAAACTGTGAGATCATGACCAGAATTGAAGTCAGACGCTCAACCCACTGAGCCACCCAGGCGCCCCCACACATGTAAGTTTCATGCAAGAGGAGCTGCAGGTTGTGCAGACCCAGTGAGCATACCGTATGTTGTCTGAAAGTTTGGGCTCTGGAGTCCAGCTTGGGCTTTACCATTTAGCTCTGTATCTCTACTTCCTTCTCTCCAAAATGGAGATAGTAACAGTACTTACTGTGTAGGACTGTTGTGAACATAAAAAATAAAAGCATTTATACAAGTCCCTGGAAAACAGCATTTTTTGATGTTGAGGCCTGCATTATCATCCTTGTGAGCAAATGTACTTGCATACAGAATACCCTGACGTTACTTGTGAACTTAGAAACAACTTAGAGTCATTTGTAAGAGAGAGAAGGGCTCTAGTTTCCACTGCAGAGTGTGTGGGGAAGAGTCAGGGTTTGTCTTCGTCTCTATGGCAACCTCTTTTTTTTTTTAATGTTTTTATTTATTTCTAGGAGAGAGAGAGAGACAGCATGAGCAGGGGAGGGTCAGAGAGAGAGGGAGTCACAGACTGAAACAGGCTCCAGGCTCCGAGCTGGCAGTCAGCACAGAGCCCGACGCGGGGCTCGAACCCATGAACCGCGAGATCATGACCTAAGCGAAAGTCGGACGCTTAACCGACTAAGCCACCCAGGCGCCCCTCTATGGCAACCTCTTAAACCCAGTATTACCCCCCATGTTCTCCTCCTTAACATCATGGTTGAGAATACCAGTTCTGGAGTTGAATTTCTTGGGTTCAACTCCTTTCTCTATCTGTAGGGAGGCTAATCACATGCTGAGACAGCCAGAAAATCAGGTACCAATACTTCTTGGAGGTTAAACTTGATGTTTAATAAAAATGTAGTAAGTACTTCACACGAGGTAAGTCAGAAGTTTGTTGAACTTCCATTTTCTAGGTGAATTTTTGTTTAAATTGTAAATCCTTCATGGAGGAGTTTTTCATTGCTAGAGGTTTCACTCAAGCCCTGACTTTTCCTTTTATTAGCTTGGTGACTTCAGAAGTTATTTAATGTCCCTCAGTATCTGTCTCCTCATCTATGACATGGGAATAATAATAGTACCCACTTCAAAGGTCCATTGTGAAAATTCCATGAGATAACTCACATGAAGCACCCCACGCAATGCTTGGGACGTATTGATTGCACATTGTGTGCTGCGTGTCATTACTGTTCTCTCAACTCACAAATGTTTCCTGAGCACCTTTCATGTGAAAAGCACCTGAGAAAAGATGGTAGTGAAAGAAAAGGAAATTATCCTAGAATCAGGAGGAGGTGGATGGGATTCAGGAAAGACATTTTCTAGGTCAGCTCTTCAGAGGAGCCACTCTACTCTGAACACAGCTCATGGAATGATACTGAAAACAACAAAAATATGGTTTAAAAGTAAGCTGGAGAAAAATGACCACACCCCATTAATCCTGGAGACGAAGCTCCAATTAGAACTCTACCTCGCCAAAGAGCTGGGATGGGCTGGAATGGATTATTAGAAAGCTCAGGGTTAATTTGGTCCACGGCTGCACCCAGTAATCCTGCTTCTGAGTGAAGCCTGTCACGCACAAAGATAATGTGGTGACTGGAGGAGCGAGTCGCCTGTTTTGTGCTAAGAACAAATAGGCTGGTGGGCCTGGTAGGCATTACTACCGTGACAGTTACTTTTGGTTGAAACAAAAGTAGTAGAAGATGAAACTAACCAAGAAGACCAAGTGGCTTTGTAACATTCACTTTGAGTCTACACCGTCTTTTGTGAGTTTATACCGTTCTTTGGGTTACATCATACCTAGGAGTCCTTCTAGAGGTGGGAGAAAGGACATAAGATAAGCTAGAGTCTCAATAACCATCCTCAGTACTGCGTCTGGAAAAACACTGATACTCACTAAATACTCTGACACAGGGACTGCACGCCCACCTCAGGTGGCCAACTCTGAAGTGGGGTTCAGTTTTCAGGTTGTCCACACAAGACTGGACAGACAGGCCCCCATTGGGACCTGGCAAAACCCAAAGAATACCCTTATATGTTTATGCATTTTGCAGTGGACAAACATGTTCACCATTATCAAACAGTAGACTTTCATCCCCAAGTCATGGGTGAGAATATAGAAGCACAGGGAGGTGAAGAGATTTTCCACAGGACCAACCAGATTCAGGGCTCTCTATACCAGCCTGTCTCTCTTGCTGCTAGAAAACTTCCCAAAGCAGAAGAAATTAACAGTCATGTTCAGGGCCGGCAGGTGTGAGGGACTGATGTCAGATTATTATGGTAACCCATAGTTGTTAGAACTGTTGGCCAGAAGTAGAGGCCAAGAGCCAAGACCTCAAGATGCGCAGATGATCCTCTGCTGGAGGATGAGGATGGTGAAGCAGGTCGGTTGAACAGGGAAATAGTAACAAGGGTGTTTTCCTGAGAAAGCTGGTGTCATTTTGTCTTATGTCATTAAGGTCTTTGACCTTAGCCAGCTTCCTGAAGACAGGGATGGAAGGTGGGGCTCAGGCTCAAGAAGCTAAGCTGGAAACATGGGTGGTGGCCTTGGCGAGTGAGCCTGAGCCCCACTTCGTGCACAGCCTTTACACCTGGGGATGCATGTACCCCTGCATGGGGTTTTCCTGCCACGCAGGCAGACAGGACAGGCTGCTAGCCACCTCCTTCTGGACAGGCCAGCCCCAGGCCTCAAAGAATGGAGCCAGATTCTTCTGCACCTTTTCCGAGAACTTCTTCACCCATAGATTCATCTTGCCCGCCTTGTCTTCGGGGATGCCAGAGAGCGTCTGGTACTCAGCAAAGAGCTGGGTGAATGGCTCCCACCCAAAGGCCTCCTGGAGCTGAGAAGAGAAGGAAGGGGCAGAATGAGGTACCAAGTTTGTGAAAGTACCTGCAACACACATGTTCAGAAGTATATTTCAGTTGCAGTGGTTTCTTCCCCTTCAGCGTTCGTGAGCTTCCCTCCTGCGATCTGCCCCTGTCTCACCACCCTACCCTTGCACATAAATACAATCCTATTGGCTCATTTCACCTCTTGGCCACAAAACTTGTACCTCTTGAATTTAGTAGGGGGCTTCTAAATTCACGGGGAACCTAAATCCTGAAAAGAGATAAACACTCAATAAATGACAGTGACTGTAATTATCTCTAATTAAAAAAATTATATCCCCAGATCCTAAATGTTTTCCTAGGCATCAGACATGCTTGTGCCTGATTGAGTTGGGAAACCCTCATATCTTACATGTTTGGCCCGTGGGACTCTTAATGCTGGGAACTTCCAGCACTTTCCAGACATAATAAAATCCCTGTTTTTATATAGCCATCTCAAATCTCTAACTATTTTCAAGGCTCCTATTTTGCTCTGTGGGATGTAGCCATTGGGGCAAAACAAATTAGAAGCAGGCACATCACAAGAGTCTCAAAATGAGAGTGACCCATGTCCATGGAGGGGCAGCCCACCTAAAGGCCACAGGCAGGAGGCCCTCGTTGGCTAAGACTACAGAGGTGTAGAATGAGCAGGAATCCTGGGGTGTCCCAGACCACCCCTCTTTTGTGGAGGAGAATTCTGACCCGGGGGAACCCAAGGACAGATGACATCCTGAAGTCACACCTCCCTCTGATCTTACTGGCCTGGCCTCTGACAGTCCTGCTCATCACTGCTAATTAATGCATCAACAGACACTTCTTACACACTCAGCAGTTATTAACTATCTATAGTGTGCCGGGTACTGCACTAAACAAAAGTGATAGCAGCTCCTGTCTTTCCAGAGGTCACGGGTCAGTGGGAGACACAGACATGTAAATCAATGACCAAAAAAGGAGGCTTATCAAGGAGATAATGTCAGGAGAGGAGGGCAATAGAGCTGAATTTTGACACATGGCCTAACTTGATGGACAATAGATACGACATTCACGGCACGTTTCAGCCACAGGGAGAAAGGAACCCTGGGGGCTGGGGGACAAGACGCTGAGGCAGCAAGATGTGTTCATGGCGGGAAGGAGCTTGGAGTCCCGGGGGGGGTGGGCGGCGGGGGGGGGACTCAGGGCCAGGGAGCTGGGAGATGAAGCTGGCAAAAGTCTGAAGCAGGCAGGGTCTTGTACACCCTGCTAGGCGGCTTCGACTTCTCTCTGGATGTAGAAGAGATTATGAGTTTTAGTCATGGAATATTAAAAGTATTTTGGAAGTAAAGTGGATGATGGACACTAGAGGCAGGGAGGCTGTTGTCATAGACGAGAGGAGAGCCGTGAGCGCCTGCACCAGGGCAGCAGCGGGAGGAAGGGTGGCGAGCAGGAAGGACAGTCAGAAGGCGTCTGCCCATCCTGAGGCCAAGTCCCGGACCCCAGGATGATGGGTCTTTCCATAACTTCTGCAAAATGATCTTCAGGGCTCCACGGTGAGTGGGTAGGTGGGTTAGGCATCCTTAGGGCTTGAACTTAAATTTTGGCGGCAAGCTACTGTTTAAGGTCTGTCTCCCTATAGACCCTCACACCGGCTGTGTAAGAATACAGAACTGAGGCAGTGCAAAGTCATCTCACTGAGTGGGGCTGTCTCCATTCACTCTTAGAAAATAAGGGGAAGAGGGGCGCCTTGGTGGCTCAGTCGGTTGAGTGTCCGACTTCAGCTCAGGTCATGATCTCTCGGTTTGTGTGTTCAAAACCCACATCGGGCTTGCTGCTGTCAGATTGTCAGCGCAGAGCCTGCTTCGGATCCTCTGTTCCCCCCTCTCTGCCCCTCCTCTGCTTGCACTCTCCCAAAAATAAGTAAGTAAATGCAAAAAAAAAAAAATGTAGGGGGAAGAGAAATGATTGAGAGGCGGTGCCAAAGCCTGAGGCTTTTCATTAACTTCTGATTTTAGGCTCTAGGCCCATCATTTAAATGAGTGATATGGAACAGACTGCTGAAATTCTTTAATCTGGTATTTCCCTCTCTAAACAGCTGGCCATCCCACAGCCAGATAGGGATGCGGCAGGCAGCAATGGAGACCTGCTCTGGGGAACAGCCTTGAGGACTCCGAAACATTAATTAATATTCAGAGCAAGTTGGGGAGGGGACAGGGCTTTGTGCTTATTTCACAGGAAGTCTACCTGCTTCAGGACTTGGGTGTTCTCATAAAGTGGGCTTGGCTGGTTATTCGTTTATTCATTGTAAAGACATTTCAGGTTCAAGTGTGATTGAAGTCAGAGAACCTTGATAACAGTTATCTCCTAGAAAGCTCTTGTGCTGCAATTGTCCCTGAGACATACCACTGTTACTACAAATGGGTGGATGAAGGGATGTAATAGCCGCTTAATTTTCAGAACTAGGGTCAGGAAAAACCAAGAAAAACAGAACAACACCCATTTCTGGAACACTTATTAGGCAACCATGGTCAAAACCAGTAAGTGGAAGTACTTGGCTCCAATCTCAGGAATGCCTAACTCCGAACTTCTGCTCATGACCAGTAGACCAGTAGGCTGTATTTTGTCTGCTTACTTTCTTTTCCGTAGTACTTTTCTTTTCCTCTTATTTAACATCACAAAGTACAGGAGATGACTGGGACAGTGTCATTTTCTCTACCTTAGAGACATGTAACCTGGGAAGCCCCACCATGTGTGGAGGGGGCAGTGAAGGGGACCCGGGATGATACATGATGGAGGGGTCTGGTGGCTCTCATCTCCCTGACTTTCTCCGTACCTGTAGGTATGTTTCCAGAGCTGTCCACACGTCCCAGTCATGCAGTGGGGCTCCCTTTCCGAGGTGTGTTTTGATTCTCCTCTCTCGTTCTGGAGGGCTCAGAGCAGGATGGGCCCGAGCCCTGGGGATGCCCAGGACCGTCTCATGCACGTAGACTGACCAGAGGTTGCAGGTAGCCTCAGTGGTGTGCGGGGGGAACTCCCACTCTTGTCGCTGCTGGTTGTGACCCAGCTCATGGATGGGTCCCCACAGACCCCTGCTCCTCATGCCTGCCTCGTTGATGAGCTCCTGCACTGACTCCAGGTGGCACATGATGGGGTACCCCGAGTGCATCCAGCCTGGGGACGCAGAAGCAAGAGATGAGGGACAGGGAGGACCCAAGCCCATCGCCCTTCATTCCTCTCTGCCGGGTGACTTTTCCTCACCATCCTGGTTGCCCTCCACGACGCCAGATCTGTGCTGATCGGAAAGTAGATGACTTCCTTTACCTGGTCAGAAACTGCAGAGCCCCCGGCCCCCTGCCCAGCCCTTCACGCCGGAGGTATGCCCTCCTCCTCGCTCTGGCCCTGAAGAATCTGAATGCACTTTATGCAGCCATTCCTGCTATAATTCAGCACTTCATTTTGTGTGATTTCCCTGCCTTGTGAGTCTGGTACAGTGTCCTGTGTCTGGACTGGAGAACAGTGTCATGTCTACCTCTGCCATGTAAACCACTGTCGTACAGATTTCTACTCATTAGCAGAGGCCATTTCTCCTTTTTTAAAGAGAAGCAAACTGAGGTCCAAAGGAAATTTCAGTATGTCAGAACCAGATCTCATTTTTCTTTCATGTCAGCCACTCAATAGTGAACGTAAACTGCTCCTTTGTCCCACTGCCAACTCACTTCTGTTTGGGGGGCTATTTCTGTTGAACCTCTCCTTCAGACAACAAACGAATGGCTCATCGCTATCTGTGAACTCTCAGTAGCAATATTTTTTTTCTGAGATTGTCCTGCCATCCTGTGAAATCTCACCTTGTAGAGGTAAATGATTCACCTTTTCAGATGTGAACGTCTCTGCATCCCTATCAAGGCCTTTTCTCCTTTACTGGTGAGATTATGCCTTGCACATACCGCACGTTAAAAAAGGCAAAATACTGAATAAACGGTGTGCACTGAGCGGGAGGAGCCCAGCCCCGGAGCACCCACCGGCTGAGATCTGCACGTCGGCCACAATCCTCTCGGGACGGCAGAGAGGGAAAGGCTTGGCCGCCAGCTGGGCTGTCGCCCGCATCATCTCGTCCCAGAGGCGGAGCGCAGGCTCGGGGTTCTCCAGGGTGCGCAGGTCTGCGGTCGGCACCGTCAAGATGATATTATCCGTTGCCAGCTCTCCCCAGGGAGCCGGGCTCTCCTGGACACAGTTCTTCCACTCCTCCACCGCTGTCGTACCTGGGAACAAACACATGGGCCTGTCTCCCCACCTCCTCAACTTACCTTGAACTCCAGGAGGAGGCCACTGAAATACTGAACTAAACGTGTGGATCCCTGTGCTGAGAAGGGAAGAACGGGCCTCGGGACCCTCCCCTTGGCTCGGCCCAGAAGTCTCCACAGACATCGGGTGTTCCACAGCCCCATCCAGCCCCGCTTGCATCTCAAACACCCCTTCCCCTCTGTCTGGCAGCCGCCGCCCCAGCCCAACTTAGCAACGAGCCCCAGGTGCTGGCGCCCCCCCCCCCACAGCGCCCCCTCTGCCCCTGGGCGTTGTCTCCTCACCCAGCTTGTAGTATGGGGCAGGCACAGCCCTCTTGATGGTGACAGGAACGGGGCCCAGTCTGCTGCCCTTGGGCACGATGACATAGAGGAGGCCGCCCCAGAGGCAGGAGACCGACCGCGTGGTCCTGTCCATGCAGCACTGGTGCGTCACCACCGGGGCTCGGCACAGCTCTTCGGCCTTGCTCAGGTTATCGGTGTGGCAGCCGACCTGTACCTGGGGAGGTGAGTCCACTGTGTGTAGCAGACACTAGGTCTGTGTGGTGCGTGGTGGGGGGGGCTGTGTGTGCCGGCTGGTGGCAGGCACCCGGCAAACACCAGCCTCCCCCTTCTGCGAGCCACGCCTGAAACCTACGAGGTTGCAGTCCTTGGGACCGAATGCTGCGCGGGGCCATTCGGTTCAAACACCCCGACAGCGGGGTGTCCCCAGACAGGCAGGCACGCCGACCCCGAGGCAGACACAGGCTGGGGCCCTGCGGTGTGTCTGCCAGGTGGAGCCGGGCTCTCGTTCAGGGCCTGCGCCGCGTGGTGATTCCGACCCACGATGAGCCCCACGGGGTCCTGGGCCACCCAGGGTGCACACGGGGGCCAGCCGTCCAGAGGCCGTGGGATCTGGCCCAAGGCGGGAGGGCTGGCTCTCGCTCCCCCCCTTGACCAGGGCCCTGCCGGTCACGTGGGTGCAGGGTGGTTCCGTCCAGGGGCCTGGGGTTGCTTCTCTTGGGTGGAACAGAAGCGAGCGCCAGGAAGGAGGCGCAGGGGAGGCTCCTGACGGTGGTAGGAGGTGACCCTCGGGGCTGAGGCAGGACCGGGCCAGCCCTGCCTGTGGGGCCTGCTAGTGTGCGTGCCCTCGGGGGTCCAGGCAACGACCTAAAACACAGGAAGGCCGTGCGCAGTGGGCGAGGTGCGTGAGGTTCGGAGGCTGCCGTGGGGCTCCTGGGGGGACGTAAAGTCGCCGCACGTGGAAACGCGAGGGCTTAGGTTTGCGTCCTAGACCCGATAGTAGCTCTGGCGTCTCAGTTGCTCCTTTAGGCCGAAATAGAGCTGCTTCGTCTATGCAATCTGTGAAATGGGCACAATCCTCCCTTCCTGGCCTCCCGGGAACGCCGCTGGGAGCTGAGGGAAACCGAGCGGCCCGGGGTCTTACCTTCAGGCCGGCACAGGCCGCGGCTTCCGACAGCGAGACCTCTGCGCTTTGCCCGCCCGGGAGGTAGAGCCCAGTACTCACCCAGCAATCCCCGTCGCCTGACGAAAGCCACAGGAGAAGGGCTGAGCCCCCGGAGCCTCGGGGCGCCTCCCAGGGCACAGCCCCGGCCCCGCCGCCTTAGCTCACCCACGCGTCCGGCACGCCCCCCGGACCCTCGGCGGAGCCCCCACCCCGGCTTCCCCGAGGTACGTGACGGAGAATGCCGCGGGCCCACCGGCGCTCCGGAGCCCGCAGGCACCGCCCCCACTCCGTACCTGGGTTGCTGCCGTCGATCTTCACAGTGACGGGGAGCTCCGAGGGGGGCGCGGGGGAGCCGCAGGGCCACGCGCCGGCGCCCCGCAGCAGCCGGGAGCAGTCGGTCCCGGCGCACGCCAGCTCCGTGGCCAGGCGGAGCGCCGCCGCCTCGCAGGAATCGCCGGCCACCGGGTGCTCCCGGCTCACGGCTGGGAGCCCCGACAGGTGCAGCGTCTTCCTCAGGAGCCGGTGCAAGGACGCGTAAGCCGGGACGCCGTCGGCGGGGATCTGGAGGAACGCTGCGCCGTCTGCGCCCAGCTTTGCCAGCCAGCGCTTTTCCGCGCCCCCAGCCCCGCGGCGCAGCGCGGCCTCGAACTCGCACAGCGCCTCGCGGAGGTGGTAGCCGCGCATCTCGGCGGGGGGGACGGGGAAGCAGCCGGGGTCCAGGGTCTGAGCCAGGATGCTGAGGCCAAAGGGGTTGAGGATGATGTTACCGGGGAAACCGGCCAAAGGGGAGCGGCCTGGGTTCTGGGAGGCCCACCACCAGGCCTGGCCCCCGATCAGCAGGCCCCCGCCCTCGGCCACGAACTCCTGGAGCTGCTTGGCCTCCTTGTCACTGTAAGCCACGCAGCAGTAGACACGCAAGCCGTGCGTCAGGCGGGGCTGCAGAGCGCACTCCAGGCCGTGCCCCGACAGCAGGGCGCACAGGTTTTTCAGGTGCGTGTTCACCCCAAATTTGCCCGTCCGGCCTCCGGCCAGCCAGCGCGCAGCGTTGAGCAAGAAGGGCCCCATCTTGGGAGCACAGAGCATGCCCTCGTGGGCGGCGAGGACCACCCGGCCCCGGCCATAGCGGGCGGCCGCCAGGAAGCAGCCTAGCGCGGCGTCTAGGCCCAGCGGGAAGGCCAGGGCCCCGTGCACCAGCAGCTGCGAGGGGACGCCCCCCGTCTTGATGTCCAGCTCTGAGATCCCTTCCAGGAGCTGCTGCTGATCCCGCCTGAGGTCCTCCCCGAACCTGGAGAGTGACACGGGGACAGAGGGGCTCCAGTCAGTCACAGCACGGAAGCGAGCTCCTAGATGGGGCCATCCGTGTGCACAGTTCCTGCCCGCCTCCTGCGTCTGCCCAACAACTGCTAGGCTCGAGTATGGAATACCATTCACCCTATCGAACCCACGGCATAGTTTTTCACCTCTGAACAACTAACTTAGGGCACATCACTGCTGAAGTGACAGTGTTGACTCTTACGTAGTGACACAAAAATGGCGCTTATCTTATAACCAAAGTTGTCATGGAAATACTGAGGAGTGAGGTAGTGGCCTTATCTGTACATCCTAAAGTCCACATAAACACTTCCAGGAATTCTTCCCATGCTAGTCAACTGGGTGTTGAATATTCTGGCTTGAATTTCATGTCTTTTTAAATAATTAAACATATAGAAGTTAGAAAAAAATAGTCCATTGTTTCTAGACAAAATAGTCCTACTGTATTTCTGAGAGCTACATTTCTTCTAGAAAAAAAGCTCTGAGCTAGAAACAGAAGTAAATTGTTTAATACTACACTTAAAAATTTATACACACTTAAAAAATTCTCAAATATGATGAGAGTATCACTTTTTATTGAGAAATGGTCTAAATGTAATAAAGTAAAAAAAAACTTGTATGTCAAGATTTTTTTAAACCAATTTGTAGATACTGTAAGTGTCAAACAATGGGACACTGGTTAAATAAGTTGAGGTTAACTGTAGATGGCATACCATATGGTAATTAAAATAAGTATTAATATTGGAAAAAATGGAAAAAATTTAGAAATCAGATTCCAAGATACTGTGCCCTAAATAAACCAAATTTTGTGAAACAAACCACCAAAAATGAAAAAGCAAATAGAAAACACAAAACCAGACAAAGAGGCAGAATCTAGAGCATATTTCTCACATCTTCAGTGACCATCTTGGCTAGTGGGCTTATAGGCGATTTTAATGATCTTCACAAAACTTTATTGATGAAAAGAGCACCTCTTGCACAGTTTCTCCCTTAATTTCTCTTCAGCATAAAGGAGGAGAGATAAAAAAAAAAAACGCATTAATCATACCACGGCTTGCTATTTATTAGTTAAAAACAACAGGCAAATCCATGAGATTTAACACGGACCGATGTCCGGAACGTTCTGCGGAGCAAAAATATTTGCAAAATAGCAGAACTTAGGGATGTACTTATGTAAGACAAAAATAAAACAAAGTTAATAAATCTCAATATATGTGTCAAAAAAGTCAGGATAAAACCACAATAAACTTTTGGATCATGGAATAGAGAGAAAGGCTGGTGTTGAAAGAGATGGTCAAAGGGGCTTTTGCCTCATTGTTAGTTTTTCCTTTTCAAATAAGGAGAATGTACGAATGTATTTTCTCTGGTAATTAAAAATTAAATTTAAAATGCTAATGTAACTGCTGGATAAATAGAAATAAAATGCATAATCTACAAATGTGTTCAGGAATTTAAGGAATAGAGAAAACCTAGTCAAAAAAGGAATGCAGAAAAGAAACAAAGCATAACGACAAAATAAGGCACGAAGAAGAGGTACACTGAAATTATCACTCTATATAAATGGGTCAAATTTCTGTATGAAAAGATAGAGCCTCGTAGCTTGGGTTAAAAACATCTAGGTATAAGCTGCTTGTAAAAGACATACTCAACTGACAGAGAAGGGCTGAAAATGAGGAAATCTGCATACCAACAAAGCTATATCGAAAAAACAACAAAAAGAAAGCAGAAGTGCTGGTATTAATATGAGACACAGCTAAATTCAAAGAGGAAAGAGTTAAAATACACCAAATGAGTACTTTCCATGGGTGAATGTTACACTTTACCAAAGATACAATTCTCATCAATTTTTAGGGTCCTAAAGACGAAGTGCGGAGAGCAAAAACTTCCACAAAGCAGAGTTAAATTTTATGAACTCATAATTGCATTTAGGATGGTAGTGGATCTGTCAGCATCCAATCGGTCAGTTACATTTAAAAAGAGAGAGAGAGATGATTTGAGCAGAAGAAAAACCACGCTTGATCAGAAGCAGAGAACACTGGTGAAATATCTCCCAGACGCTGAGGATGGTGGAGAGAGAGCCTAGGATGCCGCATTCCACCAATTTGTGGCATAAATATAAGGAAAAAAGTAGACTTTCTTAAACGTGATGCATTAAAGAACATACCAGTTTTCAGCACACAAGCACATGCACAGATGAGCAGATTAGATGATCTGCATCAAGCTTTTTTTTTTAATGTTTTATTTATTTCTAGTAGAGAGAGAGAGAGAGAGACAGCATGAGCAGGGGAGGGTCAGAGAGAGAGGGAGTCACAGACTGAAACAGGCTCCAGGCTCTGAGCTGGCAGTTAGCACAGAGCCCGACGCGGGGCTTGAACCCACGAACCGCAAGATCATGACCTAAGCAAAAGTTGGATGCTTAACCGACTAAGCCACCCAGGCGCCCCTGCATCAAGCTTTTAAGAGCAGTAGCAACCTCAGTCCAGACGCGTGAGGATGGGGACGGCAGTGTGGGATGAAAGACAGCCTCCTATCCTATATATATTTCTTTGTTCTCTGTATGTTTTTGACAATAAGCTTGAATTCCTTTTCAAGTAGTTTTGTAAAAAGATGGGATGTCTCTCAAAAGACGAATGAAGGCAGGAAGAGCAAGCACAGTAGATGGGAAACCACGTAATTCTCAACAGATGGTTTGACAGTGTTATAAAGGCAGTATTAATGGTCTCGGATATCTTTTTACCAATATTTAAATCTTCTTGTATACTATCAATAGTATTGAAGTCTGGAAAATAATGAAAGTAGCTTTTGCTTAACGGGCTTAATATATACTAGGCACTCACACATAAGGACTATCTCTCTTACTCTTTTTTTTTTTTTTAACATTTATTTATTTTTGAAAGACAGAGAGAGCATGAGTAGGGGAGGGGCCGAGAGAGAGGGAGACACAGAATCCAAAGCAGGCTCCAGGCTCTGAGCTGTCAGCACAGAGCCCGATGTGGGGCTCAAACCCACAAACTGCAAGATCATGACCTGAGCTGAAGTCGGACACTTAACCAACTGAGTCACCCAGGCACCCTTATATCTTTTAATTATTATGATAACCCTGAAATATACTCACATCACAAATGAGGCTTAAAAAGTTATGCAGTTTGTTCCATGGTTCTTAGCTAGTAACTGGCAGGGACAGGAAGCAAATCCAGGGTGGTTTGCCTCTAGCCATTGTGTCCACACAGCAGTAGAAACTCTCCTTCAATTGCTTGAGTCTTTGGATTAAGCCCACAAGTGGGTATATGGCAATGAACACATATAGTTTGTGCAAAGGAGGCTTTAAATAGATGTGAAGGTGCAAATAATACTTAATTTATGAAAAATGAAACATGTGTTCCTTTAGAGCTGACAGTGCAAGAGGCACTGAGGAAGGAGGGAAGAAGAAGGTGATGGTGTTAGGTAATTCACCAGGCCACACCTAAGCAGACAGGTGATACATGCAGTGGCTGTGTGTGTGTGTGTGTGTGTGTGTGTATAGGTAGGCTTCACACCCAGTGTGGAGCTCAATGCAGGGCTTGGACCCACCCTGAGATCTAGACCCAAGTTGAGATCAAGAATCAGATGCTCATAAAAGCCGTCTATGAGAAGCCCTCAGCTAACATTATCCTCAGTGGGGAAAAGCCGAGAGCTTTCCCCCTGAGATCAGGAACAGGACAGGGATGTCCACCCTCACCACTGTGGTTTAACATAGTGCTGGAAGTCCTAGCATCAGCCATCAGACAACAAAAGGAAATAAAGGCATCAGAATTGGCAAAGAAGAAGTCAAACTCTCACTTTTTGCAGATGACTTGATATTCTATTTAGAATACCCTTCAGACTCCACCATTAGCCTATTAGAGCTGATTCATGAATTCAGCAAAGTTGCAGGATACAAAATCAACGTACAGAAATCGGTTGCATTTCTACACACAATGAAGCAACAGAAAGAGAAATCAAGAAACTGATCCCATTCACAATTGCACAAAAAACCATAAAATACCTCGGAATAAACCTAACCAATGATACAAGAGATCTGTATGATGAAAACTATAGAAAACTTATGAAGGAAATTAAAGAAGACACAAAGAAATGGAAAAACATTCCTTGCTCATGGATTGGAAGAATAAATATGGTTAAAATGTCATTACTACCCAAAGCAATCTACACACTCCATGCAATCCCAATTAAAATTGCACCAGCATTCTTCTCAAAACTAGAACAGACTATCCTAAAATTTTAATGGAACCACAAAAGATCCCGAATAGCCAAAGTAATATTGAAGAAGAAAACCAAAACGGGAGGCATCACCATCCCAGACTTTAGCCTCTACTACAAAGCTGTCATCATCAAGACAGTATGGTATTGGCACAAAAACAGACACATAGACCAATGGAATAGAATAGACAACTCAGAATTGGACCCACAAATGTATGGCCAACTCATCTTTGACAAAGCAGGAAAGAGTATCCAATGGAAAAAAGACAACCTCTTTAACACATGGTGCTGGGAGAAGTGGACAGCAACATGCAGAAGAATGAAACTACATCATTTTTTCACACCGTACACAAAAATAAACTCAAAATGGATAAAGCACCCGAATGTGAGACAGGAAACCACCAAAACCCTAGAGGAGAAAGCAGGAAACAACCTCCTTGACCTCCACCTCAGCAATTTCTTACTTGACACATCCCCAAAGGCAAGGGGATCAAGAGCAAAAATGAACTATTGGGACCTCGTCAAGATTAAAAGCTTCTGCACAGCAATGGAAACAACCCATGAAACTAATAGACAACCGACAGAATGGGAAAAGATAGTTGCAAATGACATATCAGATAAAGGGCTAGTATCTAAAATCTATAAGGAACTCACCAAACTCCACACCCGAAAAACAAATAATCCAGTGAAGAAATGGGCAGAAGACATGAACAGACACTTCTCCAAAGAGGTCAT